TTTTAGTATATTACCTTTTAATATTTATTTTATTATCTTTACTCCTTTAATCTATGACTGTACTCTGTCTCTTTAAAGACTGTTTCACATATTTTTTCTAAACCATGTACTTTCTTTTATGACTCTCTATACTCTTTATCTTCTTCCTCACAAGCCTATGTACATATTTAAAACACACTGTGTCTCATTTAGAGGACTTTTATATCTGAATCTATCCTTATTGTGTATCTGTAATCCTTTTCTGACCAGGGCTAAGTGTTTCTTAAAAACCTAAGCAGCAGCCTTGCTAGGGTGAACAAGGACCTTCCTACTTTGTCTGCCCTATCCAGCATGGTGGAGCTGTTTGCTGCCTTCAAGAGCCATGCTCAGAGCCTCATTTTCAGGCACACAGCCAGTCTATGGTGCCATTAAGCAAGTTGTAGCACTCTGCCAGAAACCCCATTTAAATACTCAGCTTCCTAAAAGAGCAAGAGGTTGCGCTGGCAGCATGGCCCAGAAAGCTGGCATTTTAAAACTGTGTAGTATTTTTTTTCTGCTACTGATGAATCAGGAAAACCTCTCTTAAAGGAGCCAGGGCATTAAGCGGTGCTTAACTCTGTTTTTTGTTTGTTTGTTTGTTGTTGTTGTTTTATGCCTAATTTTTTTCCCAAACTCTCCCAGGTTTTAAGTGGATATTAGTTGGTCACATTGGTTCCAGTTTGTAGTAAGGAGGCTGTTAGTGCATTTCTGGCTGCCCTGACTCTCAAAATAACCACCCAGAAACTTTATTAATTAAATCACTTCTTGGCCAATTAGTGCATTTCTGGCTGCCCTGACTCTCAAAATAACCACCCAGAAACTTTATTAATTAAATCACTTCTTGGCCAATTACTTAGGCATATTGCTGGCTAGCTCTTACATCTAGAATTAACCCATTTCCATTATTTTATATTTCACCATGAGGCCTGTGGCCTACCGGCAAGGTTACAGGATGTCTGTCTCTGGCAGCGGCTCCATGGCTTCTCTATGACTCTGCCTCCTTTCTCCCAGCATCCAGTTTAGTTTTCTTGCTTAGCTTTGCTCTACTCCATCACAGGTTCAAAACAGCTTCTTTATGAATGAATGATAGTCACAGCATACAGAGGAAAAACCCACATAAGCACCCCTTTACTTTATCTGCATTACATTATTAATGTTTGTGTTTTCATTTTGTCTGCATCATAGTATTTTACAGCTTCTTCCAGATTTCTTCATCTGCCTCATTTAATAATAATTGTGTGTATCTATCTTTATTTAATTGGTGTGGGAAGTCTTTCTGTATATGTATTGTTTTATTGGTTAATGGATAAAGAAGCTGCTTTTGACCAATGGCTTAATAAAATATAGCCAGGCTGGAAAAGATTTATACAGAGTAGGTTGACTCAAGCAGATGCCATAGAACTGCCAGAGACAAAAGATGTGAGCTGTCAGCTAGAACATTGCTTGTAGGCCATGGCCCTCATGGTAAAATATAAAATAATGAAAATGGGTTAATTTGAGATGCAAGGGGTAGCTAGCAGTACACTTCAGTGATTGACCAAGCAGTGATTTAAATAATACAGATTCTATATAATAATTTTTGGGAGACTATGAAGCCAGGAACAAACAAATGACCTCCAACTACAGATTGGCACATAGGGTTGTTTCTGGCCTCCTTCTGCTTTGCCAAGTAATTACATACCATTTTAGTAAAGATAAAAATATGAGAACCTCAGATAATAAATTACTGGCTATTCAATTTAAAAACACGAGTTTTATCCAAAGGACTCATTTAGGAACTTATATAGCACAGTGGCAAGATATTGCAACCCTAGCCATTGGAGAGATAGAGACTGGTCAATCCAGGTGGATCACTAATCAGTACTTATAGCTTATGCAGCAAGTTCCAGGCAAGTGAAAGTCCCTGTATCAAAACAAGATGAAACTAAAAAAAGGTAAATTTCCTCTGAGAATCATCATTGAGATTTGACCTGTGATGATGGAGGTGGGTCTTTATCTATCTGTTGCTTTCATTGGTTAATTAATAAAGAAACTGCTTGGCCTTTGATAGGACAGAAAATTAGGTAGGCGGAGTAAACAGAACAGAATGCTGGGAGAAAGAAGCTGAGTTAGGCAATCGCCATGATTCTCCCACTCCAGAAAGACGCAGGTTAAGATCTTTCCTGGTAAGCCATCTCGTGGTGCTACACAGAATATTAGAAATGGGTTAGATCAATATGTAAGAGCTAGCCAATAAGAGGTTAAAACTAATGGGCCAAGCAGTGTTTAAAAGAATACAGTTTCCATGTAATTATTTTGGATAAAGTTAGCCGGGTGGCGGGAAGCAGTCCCACAGCTCGTTCTACATTGTGACCTCCCTATTTGCAGGCATAATCACATATGTGCAGACATCTATTCACAAGATCTTCTCCATCACATCCACATAAATAGAAGTTAGTTTTCAGTCTTTCAAACCTTTTATGACTTGTTTGTGACTTATACATATTGTAGATTAGAGAATATCCCATGTGATTTGAGAAAACCATGCACTCTGCTCTTGAAGGTGGAGTGTTTGAAAACATTCATGTAAAAGAGCATTGAATATCTTGAGGCAGGTGTTAGATATAAATTGTCTACACTGTTAAAAATGAATGATACTTCACCTACCATTATTTTTCTATCATTTCATTACTATTCTACTTTTCACTTCTAAGTAAAATGATGAAAATTAGTACTATTGTTATGTTTCTATATATGTCCCTGATTAGTTATCACAATGCTTATTCTGAAAACTTCAGAGTGCTGAGATTTGTTTCACAGATCATCACAACTCTTCAATATTCCTGGTGACTAACTTTATGTTAGAAGCAGTGAAATCTTCTTTAATTAGGTCTTTTATCAGCTATTGACGTACTCTGCTTTCTTTCCCTCTTTTCTTTTTAGCATGGTCTCAGTAGCCCAGTTGAACTCAAATTTCCACTTCTCCAAGTACTTCTCTCCTGCTGCTTTTCAGGCTATTGTTGCTTCTAAAATTTTCCCACTGAACTGGTCTTTGGATACCTGTCACAAGAGATTGCTTCTCCTTTACTTATCTTGCATATAACTGTCGTAAGGAATCTTGTTTTCTGTTCAAGCCAGTTTGTCTCAACTATTATTTTTTTTAACTTTTTGTAGTTTCTCTCCTGTGATTCAGGTCATGATTTCTGCAATAGTCTGGGAATCTGAGCATTTACTCTGTTATTTATTGAAGGTATTGCATGTGATTTTATTTGAGAAAGAAATGATTTCACTTAGACTAGTTTTTCATCTTTTGTTTTTCACCCACACAGGTGTTGGTATTATTTACATAACCTTAACATTTCTGATGCACTGTTTTTTTTTATTGGTTACATAATATCTATTGATCTCTACTCAGTTATCAGTGGTAAAAGATGTCAGAGTATCCCTTCTAAATTAGTAGGTTGAGCTAGAGGTAATAACTGGTTATAGTTAACACAAGCTACAGTATTTGTACAGAGCCTTCCCTTTCCTCCTGTGTAAATGCAATCAAATATCTATTGCTAAATATCTTGGGTTCTTCCCACCTAGGGTACATATTTTCATGACCACTATTACACCCTCAAGAAACTCATATCCACAGTGTATATTATGAGATTTTATCACAGAAATAATTAGAGGTAAGAATCCCATTTTGATGTTCTCCTCAAAGTTTAAGAGGTTGCTGTTTTTTCTCCTGCTCATGCTTTAACTCCTTTTCCTGAAGAAACCTGATTATGGTCCCAGCATCCTCACTGCCTTCTCAGATATGGGAGAACACATGTAATTAACCATGTGACCTAGGGCTTATCCTACCTGACCATGATAGTTTCTCACTTCATTCTTTTCTCACCAGTAATCCTGAACTGTACAACATCACAAACATTAGAACAGGAAACTTCATTTTGAGGAGGCGTCCCAAAGAGACTGATCAGTCACAGCAAGATGACAACTGAGATTTTATGTGAGACTAGCCAGGGTGGGTCCTCCATAGAAAACAAAATGCACATGCCTGGGTTAGTGCTGACATGTATATAGAGAGAAGAGTCATGCAGGCTTCTGATTTTGGAAGAATCATATTAAATAGCTTGTATCTTAGGGTTGACTGTAGTAATACAAAAAGTGATGCTTAGTGGGGAAAGAATATGCTAAAAACTGTCAATTTAGATGATAACAGATATTCCTTAAGTGCTGTATTACACAGATACTGCAAGAAGCAACAATAAAGATATATGTATACAATCATTGTCTTTGAGTTGAATAAATATTCTTTTGCTCCTCTTTTACAACTTTGCAGAAAAAGGGACTGCCATTTTTAAGACTTTTAAATATAGAAATTAGAAGCTGATTTCTTATATTCAATTAAACTTGTCTCCATGGTAGCACAAAGAATTCAAAGTGTTTTTTAAGTGTTTATATTGAAAATATAAGTGTGATGAATATTGAAATTAATATTCCTCAGAAATTTAGTTTGAAGAAACTTTGCAAGTGATATTTTGGCCTCTGGTGTTTTGGCAAGTGTCATGTCACATGTCAATTCCAACTCTATTATTTTATATGATTTAAATATGTAAAACATTTCATGTAGCAATTATGCTTCAGGAAATTAATATTTTAACATTTATTAGTTATATGGTGTGTGGGGATATGTGTTATCAATACGTTTCTATGGCACACCGGTGAATTACAGAGGAAAAACTGAGAGTCTGTACTCTCCTACTATTGTTGCTCCGGAAAAGCTTTTATATCTTGGAAATAATGAAGGAATTCCTGTGTTTTTAATGTTTTTGTTTGGAAAGAGGACAGGTTTATAAATAAAATGTCCTCTGATTTCTGTTCAAAATCATCACATGGACTTCTATATCTTCACAGTGTAAAACTGTCCTAGCATCTGGAGATCGCAGAATGAACAGTTTTAGCAGACTTGACTCTCACTTCTGCTTACAAAAGTAAGTTTTTGTCATGGCTTATATCACTGTGGGAGGAAAATTGCTATGCTGTTGACAGTAATAAACTGCAACATCTTCAGACTGTAGGCCACTGATCTTAAGAGAATACTGTGTGCCAGATCCACTGCCACTGAACCTCGTTGGGACCCCATCTTTCAATACATTTGCAGCATAGATCAAGAGCTTGGGAGATTTCCCTGGTTTCTGCTGATACCATGCCAAATAATTGTAAATGTTTTCACTGGCCTGACATGTGATGGTGACACTGTCTCCCAGAGATGCAGACAGGGAGGCTGGAGACTGGGTCATCTGGATGTCACATCTGGCACCTGAGGTTGGAAAATTGAAAACAAATTTCCACACAGTTAATTAATTTAAGAGAACTTTCGTTGAGACCAGGCATGACCAACTATACTAAGCAATATACATTTCCAATGATGTCTTCCTTACCTGTAAGCCAGAGCAGCAGCAAACCCAGGAGATGAGTGACTGACCTCATATCTGTGCTGTGATCTGTGTGAGGCTGACTCCAACACAGGGTGTGACCAGGCTATTAAGATATGCTCAGGACAGTGGGCTGTCCTCTGGGCACATGCAAATCAGCAATGGCTGGGCACAGTCACAGGACTGCCCAATGATTCCTTATAGACATGTGTTCCTCTTATGTCTCAGATCAGAGAAGCAATTTATGTTTATTTGTAGGAAGTGTGTTCCTCTACATAGTGCTACAATGGATAGCACTAGTCTATGAAGTGTCACTTTCCTTTGATGCCTTTTATAAATAACGTAGTTTCCTTTTTTATGTTTTCCTTAATATCAAGGACTGTCATATATGGTATAATCATAGGAAGTACAAAAATCATTACAGGGTCCTTTATTTTTTATTTTTTTTTAATTTAATTTTATTTTTTTAATTTATTTATTTATTAAGGATTTCTGCCTCCTCCCCGCCACCGCCTCCCATTTCCCTCCTCCCTCCCCCCCCCATCAAGTCCCCCTGCCTCATCTTCTTGAAGAGCAATCAGGGTTCCCTGACCTGTGGGAAGCCCAAGGACCGCCCACCTCTATCCAGGTCTTGTAAGGTGAGCATCCAAACTGCCTAGGCTCCCCCAAAGCCAGTACGTGCAGTAGGATCAAAAACCCACTGCCATTGTTCTTGAGTTCTCAGTAGTCCTCATTGTCCGCTATGTTCAGCTAGTCCAAATTTATCCAATGCTTTTTCAGACCCAGGCCAGCTGGCCTTGGTGAGTTCCCGATAGAACACACCCATTGTCTCAGTGTGTGGGTGCACCACTTGCGGTCCTGAGTTCCTTGCTTGTGCTCTCTCTCCTTCTGCTCCTCATTTGGACCTTGAGATTTCTGTCTGGGGCTCCAATGTGGGTTTCTGTCTCTGTCTCCTTTCATCGCCTGACGAAGGTTAATATTCAGGAGGATGCCTATGTGTTTGTCTTTGGATTCACCTTCTTATTTAGCTTCTCTAGGAACAGGAATTATAAGCTCAATGTCCTTGGATTATGGCTAGAAACCAAATATGAGTGAGTACATCCCATGTTCCTCTTTTTGGGTCTGGCTTACCTCACTCAGTATAGTGTTTTCTATTTCCATCCATTTGTATGCAAATTCAAGAAGTCCTTGTTTTTTACTGCTGAGTAATACTCTAATATGTATATATTCCATACTTTCTTCATCCATTCTTCCGTTGAAGGGCAGCTATTACAAACAATGCTGCTACGAACATAGTTAAGCATATACTTTTGTTGTATGATAGGGCCTCTCTTGGGTATATTCCCAAGAGTGGTATTGCTTGATCCTGGGGTAGGTTGATCCCAAATTTCCTGGGAAACCAAAACACTGCTTTCCAGAGTGGTTGCACAAGTTTGCATTCCCACCAGCAATGGGTGAGTGTACCCCTTTCTCCACAACCTCTCCAGCAAAGGCTATCATTGGTGTTTTTTATTTTAGCCATTCTGACAGGTGTAAGATGGTATCTTAAAGTTGTCTTGATTTGCATTTCCCTGATCGCTAAGGAGATTGAGTATGACCTTAAGTGTCTTGTGGCCATTTGAAGTTCTTCTGTTGAGAATTCTCTGTTCAGCTCAGTGCCCAATTTTATAATTGGGTTGATTAGCCTTTTATGGTCTAGTTTCTTGAGTTCTTTATATATTTTGGAGATCAGACCTTTGTCAGTTACGGGGTTGGTGAAAATCTTCTCCCAGTCAGTGGGTTGCCTTTTTGCCTTAGTGACAGTGTCCTTTGCTTTACAGAAGCTTCTCAGTCTCATGAGGTCCCATTTATTCAATGATTCCATTAGTGTCTGTGCTGCTGGGGTTATACGTAGGAAGTGGTCTCCTGTGCCCATGTGTTGTAAAGTACTTCCCGCTTTCTCTTCTATCAGGTTCAGTGTGTTCAGACTGATATTGAGGTCTTTAATCCATTTGGAATTGAGTTTTGTGCATGGTGATAGATATGGATCTATTTTCATTCTTCTACAGGTTGACATCCAGTTTTGCCAGCACAATTTGTTGAAGATGCTCTCTTTTTTCCATTGTATACTTTTAGCTCCTTTATCGAAAATCAGGTGTTCATAGGTTTGTGGGTTAATGTCAGGGTCTTCTATTCGATTCCATTGGTCAACTTCTCTGTTTTTATGCCAATACCAAGCTGTTTTCAAAACTGTAGCTCTGTAATAGAGTTTGAAGTCAGGGATGGTAATGCCTCCAGACAATCCTTTATTGTATAAGATTGTTTTGGCTATTCTGGGTTTTGTGTTTTTCCATATAAAGTTGATTATTGTCTTCTCCAGGTCTGTGAAGAATTTTGATGGGATTTTGATGGGGATTGCATTGAATCTATAGATTGCTTTTGTTAGAATTGCCATTTTTACTATGTTGATCCTCCCAATCCAAGAACAAGGGAGATCCTTCCATTTTCTGGTGTCTTCTTCAATTTCTTTCTTCAAAGATTTATAGTTCTTGTCAAATAGATCTTTCACTTCCTTGGTCAGAGTTACCCCAAGATATTTTATGATATTTGTGGCTATCGTGAAAGGTGATGCTTCTCTGATTTCCCTCTCTGCTTCCTTATTTATAGTGTATAGGAAGGCAACTGATTTTTTGGAGTTGATCTTGTATCCTGCCACATTACTAAAGCTGTTTATCAGCTGTAAAAGTTCTTTGGTGGAGTTTTGGGGGTCGCTTATGTACACTATCATATCATTTGCAAATAACGAAAGTTTAACTTTTTTCTTTCCAATTCGAATCCCCTGGATCCCATTATGTTGTCTTATTGCTATTTCTAGAACTTCAAGCACTATATTGCAGAGGTATGGAGAGAGTGGACATCCTTGTAGTGTTCCTGATTTTAGTGGGATGGCTTTTGAGTTTTTCTCCGTTTAATTTAATGTTAGCTGTTGGCTTGCTGTAAATAGCTTTTATTATATTAGATAGGACCCCTGTATCCCTATTCTCTCCAAGACCTTTATCATAAAAGGGTGTTGAATTTTGTCAAATGCTTTTTCAGCATCTAATGAAATGATCATATGGTTTTTTTCTTTCAGTTTATTTATATGGTGGATTACATTGATAGATTTTCGTATGTTGAACCAGCCCTGCATCTCTGGGATGAAGCCTACTTGATCATAATGGATAATTTTTCTAATGTGTTCTTGGATTTGGTTTGCCAGTATTTTGTTGAGGATTTTTGCGTCGATGTTCATGAGTGAGATTGGCCTGTAATTCTTTTTCTTGGTTGAGTCTTTTTGTGGTTTTGGTATCACAGTAACTGTAGCTTCATAAAAGGAATTTGGTAATGACCATTCTGTTTCTATATTGTGGAATACATTAAGGAGTATAGGTATTAGCTCTTCTTTGATGTTCTGGTAGAATTCCGCATTGAAACCATCTGGTCCTGGACTTCTTTTGGTAGGGAGGTATTTGATAACAGCTTCTAATTCTTCGCGACCAACAGGTTTGTTTAGATTGTTCACCTGGTCCTGGTGTAACTTTGGTATATGATATTTGTCTAAAAAAGTGTCCATTTCTTTTACATTTTCCAGTTTTGTGTTACTTAGTGCTATGAACTTTCCTCTTAGCATTGCTTTCATTGTGTCCCACAGGTTTGAGTATGTTGTCTCTTTATTTTCATTAAATTCAAGGAAGACTTTAATTTCTTTCTTAATTTCTTCCTTGACCCAGGTGTGGTTCAGTAGTTGACTGTTCAGTTTCCATGAGTTTGTAGGCTTTCTGTGGTTAGCAATGTTGTTGCCTTCTAACTTTAATCCGTGGTGATCAGATAGGACACAGGTGGACACTGATATTTTTTTGTATCTGTGGAGGTTTCCTTTGTATCCAAGTATGTGGTCAATTTTTGAGAAGGTTCCATGAGCTGCAAAGAAGAAGGTATATTCTTTCCTATTTGGGTGGAATGTTCTATAGATGTCTGTTAAGTCCATTGCTTCATTACCTCCAATAATTCTCTTAATTCTCTATTAGGTTTCTGTCTGATTGACCTGTCCCTTGGAGAGAGAGGTGTGTTGAAGTCTCCTACTACTAGTGTGTGTGTGTGGTTTGATGTCTGCCTTGACTCTAGTAATATTTCTTTTACATAAGTGGGTGCTTTTATAGTAGGGGCGTAGATATTCAGGATTGAGACGTCATCCTGATGAATTGTTCCTGTTATGGGTATAAAGTGTCCATCTCGGTCTCTTCTGATTGATTTTAGTTTGAAGTCAGTTTTGTTAGAAATTAGTATGGCCACACCTGCTTTTTACTTAGGACCATTTGCTTGAAACACTTTTTCCCAACCCTTTACTCTGAGTAGGTGCCTGTCTTTGTGGTTGAGATGTGTTTCTTGCAAACAGCAGAATGTTGGATCCTGTTTTCGTATCCAATCTCTTAGCATGTGCCTTTTTATAGGTGAATTGAGTCCATTAATATTAAGTGATATTAATGACCAGTGCTTGTTTACTCCAGTTATTCTTATTGTTTTTGATAGTAGAGATTGTGTGTCTCCCTTCTTTGAGATGTGCTGGTGAAGGGTCGCTAGATGCCTGAGTTATTGTAGACAGTGTTGGCAGTGTTGGATTTCTTGGGTTGCAATTTTCCTTCTATTACTTTCTGTAGGGCTGGATTTGTGGCTACGTATTGTTTAAATTTGTTCTTATCCTGGAATGTCTTGTTTTCTCCATTGATAGTGAATGATAGCTTGGCTGGGAATAGTAGTTTGGGTTTGCATCCATGGTCTCTTAGCTTCTGCAGTACATCTATCTAGGACCTTCTGACTTTCATGGTTTCCATAGAGAAGTCAGGTGTAAGTCTGATAGGTTTACCTTTATAAGTTACTTGCCCTTTTTCCTTTACAGCTCTTTTTTTTATATTTTCTTTTTTTTCTTTTTTTATTGAAAAAGGAGGAAAAAAACCCAAGTTTCCACCTCCTCCCAGCCTCCCATTTCCCTCCCCCTCCTCCCACCCTACGCCCCCTCCTCCCACCCTTCTCCCCCTCCCCCCACTCCTTTCCCC